TTCATCATTCAGGAGTGTGTTGTTTAATCTCCATGTGTTCATGTGGTTACTGGGGATTCTTCTGGTGTTGATTTTAAGCTTTATTGCATTGTGATCTGATAGAATGCATGGAATTATTTCAGTCTTTCTGTATTTGTTGAGGTTTGTTTTGTGCCCCAGTACATGGTTGATTTTGGAGAAGATTCCATGGGGCGCTGAATAGAAAATATAGTCTTTGGTGCTTGTGTTGAATATTCGGTAGATGTCTGTTAGGTCCATTTGATCTATGGTATTGCTTCTTTAAGTTTATTACTGATTTTTGAGGAACAGAAAGAGAAACACTACAGTACTGTAGATATTTAACTGAGTGAGAAGTCCCTTAGAAAAAGTACTTAGAAATGTAATAAATAGTATTTTGAGGTATCTACCCAATGATGTTAAACAATGTGTGATACTGAACTTATCCAAGCAAATTAAGTTTCTTCTGGGTTACCTCTTATGGGCTAAGTTTCCTACTTCCCTTTTTTTTAGATGTTAAATTTGGTTGATTGTCACATTTTCTGACAGTCTTTTTAACTTTGAGCTCTAGATCCACAGAAACATCTGTGTGAAATATACTATTTTGTATCTAATTTGGGGGGGCCTCATAGTTGTGCAGTCATAGGTCCTGTGCCCCATGATTGCTTCACCAGGTACTGCACTAGCACTGTTTTGGCAGTGAGAATTCTGAGGTTTGTTTTTCCTCTGATTTTCCTGACAAGAAATCAAGTTAGATCCTGTGTCTGATCATTTTGTTTCTCAGGTTGTTACGTGAGACTGTCTACTTGTCCAGAAGGATGGTTTGGATTGAATTAGCCTCTTCTTGGGTACATGAGAGTGAGCACTTTTCTTTTTGTTTGGGCCATGAATGCTTCTGGGTTCACTCTAACCCTTTCCTGTACAATCCTGAGGTGGTAGGCAGAGGCCTAGAGTGGACTACAGACAGGCTGTCTAGACCATAGTCTCATGTAAATTAACCAATATGCCTGAAATTCCTTGTGGTCCAGATACTTTCAAGAGGTAACATGCTTCTTAGTTTGCAATGCAGTAACTCCAAGCTCTATTACCCCTGCCTGTCTTTGCCCACTGCCCCCAGCCTCTATGGCCTTTTAGTTTTGTGTCCTTTAGATTAGGGTCTGTGAGTAGACAGATACTTCTCCCATGGGAGCCAAGGTGCTTATTAGGACCTTGGAGATCAGTTATTAGAGAAGTACCTGTCTCTGAGTTGTTCTGTGACATGGGGCTTTGTTTCTTTTTTTTTCTGGCTTTTTGAGACAGGGTCTCCCTGTAGCTTCAGCCAGCCTGGAACTCACTATTAGGACCATACTGGCCTGGAACTTACAAAGAGTCGGCTGCCTCTGCCTCCCAAGTGCTGGGACTAAAGGTATGCACCACCACACCTGGTGGACATGGGACTTTGTAAGGCCTTTTACATTCCTATCCATACAAGTTCATAGGCATCTTAGCAGTTGTCTTTGTGACTAGCTTGTAGAGAGGCTTTGTCAGTCTGATGATGTTAGATGAAATTCTATGTACGTACATAGACAAGTACCTTAATTTGTGTGTATGCAACTATTTAAAATTTTGGGGCTGGAGAGATGACTCGGTGGTTAAGAACAATGATTTTGCAGAAGACCAGGTTCAAATCCCAGCACCCACATGGCAGCTAATAATTGTCCATAACCAGTCTCAGGGGATCTGACACTCTCTTCTGACTTCTGCAGGCATTGCACAACACGGGTGCACCTTTACCTACATGCAGGCAATACACACATACACGTAAAATAAAAATAATAAATAAAAAAAATTTTAAACTAAAATTATTTAGAATCTTGCTTAGGTTTTTGTAAATGTATATTTAATTTATCTTGTGTATGTATGATAACTCCTGTGTGTGTGTGTGTGTGTGTGTGTGTGTGTGCATGTGCATGAACATGCTGTATCATGTGTGTGGTTGGAGGATCAAGACAACTGCTGATGTTGGTCCTCATCTTCCTCCTTTTTTTTGGTCTTTTTGAGACAGGGTCTCCCTATAGCCCCAGCTGACCTAGAACTCACAGAGATCTGCCTGCCTCTGCTTCCCAAGTGCTGTGATTAAAGGCGTGCACCACAACACCCAGCTCTCATGTTCCACGTTTTTCGAGATAGGGTCTCTTGTCATTCACAGCTGGGCTGATCCATGAGCTCCAGATTGTCCTTTCTCCCCTCCCATCTTCCTGTATAAGCACGGGGGTTATTATACACGCCCTCGTTACTGTATCTGGCTTTAATACGGGTTCTGGGGATTCTAACTTACATCTTCCTGTTTGCCTGGCAAGTGGCTTACCCATATAACCATCCCTCACAACTTGGATTAGAATCTTACTATGTTGTCCATGTTGGCCTTAAGCCCCTGGACTCAAATGACTCCCCTGCCTCAGCCTTCTGAGTATCTGGGATGATAGGCACATCCTATCATGCTTGACTTAATTAATCTTGTACAAATAAAGAGTTTATGAGTAAAGACCGTTAGCAATTAGAGAAAATTGATAGGTGATGGAATCAATCACAATAGCTTATTTATTGTGGAAATTTGGCAACCAGAGGCTTACATACATAATATAGTTGCATAAGATGGCTCAGTGGATAAAGTGCTTGCTATATAGGCATGAGAACTGAAGTTCAGATCCCTAGTATTCATGTAATAGCTGAGTATAGTGGCATATATCTGTAACTCCAGTGCTTAGGTATGGGGTGGGGAAGAATAAGGCAAACAGATCCTCGGGGTTTGCCAGTATAGCTGAAAAAATGGACTATATGTTCAGTGAGAGACCCTGTTTCGAAATATAAGGTTTAGAACAATAGAGGAAGATATCAAAAGTTGACCTCTGGCATCTACATGCATAGGTACATGTACTTGGACAGGTGAGCCCCCTCCACCCCTACACATAACAACATGAGCATACAAAGAAAAAAAGAAGAAAAAAGTTTATTTTCTTAATTTGTATATGTGCTAATATAATGTAATTCTGTAAATTGTTCTTCTTTAAGCTGAAGCATTGGATATAATTGCAAAAGATGAAGAAGAATTTAATAAAGAACATCAATTTATACAGGTTTGTAATTACTTGCCCTAACCAAAGTTTACATTTTTATTGTATCAATTTAAATTTAGTTGAAATATTCTTTTATTTTCTGAACAGCTGTTATAAACATATCATGTTTTTCTCATGTTATGACAACTTTTACATTTTCCTTTTAAATTATTAGTTGAAGAAAACTAATAACCAATATATCTTTGGGGGTGGGTGTAGGTTAGTGGTTGAGCCTAGTGTGCATGAAACCCCATGCTCCATCCTCGGTACTATACATAACATCAGTACTGATAATGAAAACAATGAAGTATATCTGTATTTAAAGTTTTTATTTTACATTCATTTACTTGTGTGCTTGGGGCAGGGGGGGAGCGGTATACATAGCATGGCACACATATAAGGATATCAGAGGACAGCTTTTGGGAGTTGATTTTCTCCTTCTACCACTTGTGTTCTGGGGATTGAGCTCATGTTGTCAGGCTTGGTGGCAAGTAGCTTTACTTTTGAGCCATCTTGCTGGCCTAAACTTTATCTGATTTTAAAAGTTTTCATGAATGGTTCTGAAAATAATTCTTTAAAAAATATGTTTGAAATGAGGTAATTTTGTTTGGTAAGGATATGTGTGTGTGTGTGTGTGTTTTTTTTTTTCCTTTGAGACAGAGACTTCTTGTAGCCCCAACTGATTTCAAACTCACTGTGTAGACCAGGCTGACCTTGACTTCACAGAGATTTCCCCTGCCTTTGCTTCCTGAGTGCTGGGATTAAAGCTGTCCTCTGATATCCCTTACACGTGTGCCATGATATGTGTGTGCCACCATGCCCTGCTAGGAGGTATACATCCTAAGGATTATTTGTGGCGGTCAGTGTTTTATTAACATATTAGGACAATGCATATTGTAACTCAAGTATTCAAAAATGAGTTCTGTAGACTTTTGTAGCTGTTCATGCTCAAGTTTATCTAAATGTTGTGAACCAATTAGAAAAATATATTTTTTAAGTTTCTTTATTTCTTTTATTCTTAGTTTCACATGTTTGCCTTGTTGAGGAAAAAATGATGAAATAACTTTTTTTCTAGGAAGAAAACATAGATGCTCAGAATACTTCGCCTACACTAGGGGATACATCCTGGGTAGCAACAATTAATTACAATCTATTGAGGAAATCACTTAGCACATCAGATTTCGACAGAGATGATGGCAGTTATTTGCGTCTTTCATTAGGAGAGTTCTTTGCTGAAAGATCTGAAGCTCTGGGTTGCCTAGGTGGTAGTCACAGTGTGAAAAGAGTAAGTATGAAATGTGCTGAGACTATAAAGAATATAAAGGCCATCTGTGTTGCTTAACAGTATGCCCTGGGCTAGGTAAGTTGGCTGACAGTTCTGAGGGCTGGGAAGCTTAGGATGTGATGCCACATCTGGTCAGATCTGGTGAGTATCTTTTGCTACGACAGCAGCTCATGGTAGAGACTTGGGTACATGTAAAAGAGGTATGTGTAAGAGAAAGCAGAGGAATCCAAACCTACTTTATCATAACTCACTTTTGCATACTTGACCCCTCTCTGGATGCTGTCTTAGTCCCTTCATGAGGGCACATCCCTCTTAAAAGCTTCTGCAAGGTTCCACCAACTCTGGACACCATTACATTGGGGACCAAACGTCAACATTAGTTTTGTTGGGGACAAACTAAATACCAGATTTTTTTACTTTGAATATTATGATGGTGTTTCTAGAGCATTTAGACAGAGACAGAATAGGAACTTGGCAAAAAAGTGATTGCAAACTTAGGTTTTATGGTCAGTCAGACCTGACTTCAGTTCGGGTTCTGCCTTTGAACTACTTTGGTGACATTGAACAGTTTATTTAACTCCTCTATGTCTTAATTTCCCTATTTCTAAAATGGAGTGTTGTTTTATAGGATGTAAGATTGAAATGTGCTGATAACATGCGAAGCATTTAATGCTAACATATAGTGAGCAAGTGTTGGTATTGTTTTGTGGTTGGTTGGTAGAAAGAGTTCTAAGATTAATTTTTTTCTACCTGTCTGCAGGGATGTTTTGAAATGTCAGAATGCTTTGATTTAATAAAATGCAATAGGTACAAAAATTTTAAAATTCAAACAGTTCATATAGTAGGTGCTATAAAGAAAGACTTGAGTAGAAAGAGCTGCTTCACCAGTGCTAGTCAAGTGATATTTGAGAGGGTGTGACCTTGACCTGGCATGCAGTGATGAAAAAGAGGCAGCTGCTCAGAGATCTTGAGAGAACCAATGTTTCTAGTAAAGGAAAACCATTTGTGTGGGTCTCAAAGGTAGGCATCAGAGTGGTCCATTGATGGCAGATAGAGCTAACATGAGAGACTGGGGCAAGGGCAGTCAGGTAGGATGTTAAAAGATTACAAGTGTGTAATTGTAACACTGGGAAGACTGAAGCAGGATGATCCTGAGTTTGAGGCTCTTCAGGGTTACATAGTGAGTCCCAGGCCAAGCTGGACTGTATAGTGTGAAGTTCTGTCTAAAAAGGTAGTTAGATAACAAAGACTTGATTTTTAGCTTTCCTGTAGCTGTTGGTTTATATCTCAGATGAACTTCCAGGAAGTCCTTGGAGACAGGGAATAACTTGGTCATGTTCAACTCTAGGTTACTACCATCTTTGCCAGGGACTTGGGTGAAGAAAGCTAGTGAAGGGGCTGGAGAGATGGCTCAGCAGTTAAGAACACTGGTTGTTCTTGCAGAAGACCCGGGTTCGAATCCCAGCTCCCACATGGCAGCTAACAGCTGTCCATAACTCCAGTCCTAGGGGATCTGACAGTTTCTTCTGACCTTCGTGGGCATTGCACGACGCGGGTGCACTTACCTACATGCAGGCAATACACGCATACATATAAAATAAAAATAAATATGGAAAAAAAAGCTAGTGAAGTACAGAGGGTGAACAGAGACAGGCACAGGCTTAGTAAGCAGGAAGAAAGGTGAAGTCTGGGGACTAGCATGCTATTTGAAAACATGAAAGGTATAAGGGTTCAAAATTGTTCTGGAAGAATCAAAGGACTTGGCTGATAAATTTCAAATATGAAATTTTTGTGATCAAAGTTTTTAATTTTTTTTTTTTGGTCTTTTTGAGACATGGTCTCCCTGTAACCCCAGTTGTCCTGGAACTCACTATGTAGACCAGGCTGGCCTTGAGCTCACAGAGATCCGCCTGCCTCTGCCTCCCAAGTGCTGGGATTAAAGGCGTGCACCACCACTCCTGGCCCTTTAAAGAAGATTTTTATATTATCTGTATGAGTGTTCTGCCTGCATGTATATGAGTGCACCCATGTTGTGCAGTGCCCACAGAGGACAGAATAGGGTGTCAGATTCCCTGGAACTGGAATTACAGATGATTGTTAGCAGCCATGTGGGTGTTGGGAATTGAACCCTGGTCTCCTGCAAGAACAGCTAGTGCTCTTAACCACTGAGCAATCTTTCTAGCCCCCATAGATCTTTCTGAAACTTTCATATAAGTCAATAGACACATTTAATCTTAAGGCAGATTTTCTTCAAATTGATCTATTAAGAAAAATATACTATACTGTAAGCTCTATAATATAGGCAATTTTACCCTCTTTTCCCCCTCATTTGGAACAGTGCCTGATAAAATAATGTTTAGTATGAATTACTGAAGGACTAAAGTGTCACACTTGAATTGTTTTAATTTGGGTTTTTAATAAGCTTAATTCAACTTGACTGTTTCAATTGTAATGATTAATGATAGCTAGGATTAAGGGAAAAAAAGTTTCTGTTCACACACACCCACACACATACACACAGACACACAGCACTGGATATGGAACCGAGGTCTTTTCACATTCTAGGGCAGGCAGTCATCAGTGAGTCCCAGCTGAAAGGTTCTGTCTGGACTTCTAAAGTTCATCTCTAGTTATTTGAGGTTACGTGGCAAGAATAGGTTTATTAAATTCATTTTGATGTGTTGGTAATACTAGAAAAAATAATCTACAGGTTTTCAAAATGGTTGAAAATTAAGGAAAATTAATTTGTTTTTAATTATTTTTACAGCCATCATTTGGTTATTTTATTAGATCACCTGAGAAGAGAGAACCTTTTGCTTTAATAAGAAAATCTGATGCATCAAGAAGTAATTTAGAGAAAGAAATGGCTTATCTTAGCCATGATTTGTTTTCAGGTAATGGATTAAATGAAAGGTTTTTAGGATTCTTTTTGTTTTTGTTTTTTAATTTGTAATTTAGTAATTACAAATTATCACATTCTTTATGGGTAAAAATGTGTACATTTCTTTGTAACTTTTCAATATTGGTTGTAGATAGGATATTTGTATAACCTATTTTTTCTAATTGAAAGTAAAAATTAAACAGCCAAAATCCACCCAAATTCTTTTGTAAAATACCATAATAAATGAAGTAACTTCAAATGACCTAGTTAAGTTTGACCTATTAAATTTTTGCTGTTAATGAATAATAGATAATATATTTATCATTTAGATAGTCTTTAAGAGTTGCTTTGAATTTTAGAGTATAATAGTTTACATATGACAGGCATCTACAATATCTGTGAAAAAGATTTTCAGTTAAATTTTGTTATAGTCATTGAGCTGTTCCTTTTTGAGAATGCAGGGTCTGTTGCTGCATCCATATGATGCTGACTGAGGTGTGCTCCCTTTGTAGCCTGCGTTCCAGTGGAGGACTTAGGGAAAGGGGTTGTATATGTAGTAGGTTCAGTTTCTACCACTCTAAAAAAGTACGTAATTTTAAATGCAGTATTTGAAGCTGAAAATATTAAATGAGTTTATATAAATGTTTGCAAGGGAGAGATTAAAAGCCACGGACTTCTTCAGAGTTTGTCCAAGTGTCTGTACATTTGAACAGTCTTAGTGAAGGCAACTGATAATTTGCAATACAAAAATTTTTCCTTGGCCATTAATCATTTTGACTGGTTCTTCCTTATCTCAGATTATTTCTGAGGGATACCGTGTACTTTTAAATTGAATATTATTTATTTCCTACAGGAGATTTAAATGAACCATCCCAGGCACAACTAAGTGAAGAATCGGTTACCCTTGAGGCTGAGGAACCTCAGAGTACTTCACAGGTGGATGAAAATGATGTGACACTGACTGCCACTAAAGACAAAGTAGAGGTAATTCATGCTTTTCCTTAAGTAACTCTCTAGCTCCTCCAGTTTACCCTTCTACCCCCTCTCAAATTAATGATATCTTCTTTAATTATTATTATTAATACTTACTGGGTCCTTCTGGTGTTGCTCATGTGTACATGTGCTTAGGACTGACCCCTTGGGATTGGATAATCCTTTCAGGGAGCTTATCCTTGGAGAAAACTCTTTCTATAGTACCTATTAATTGCCTGTAAATCATCATCTAAGGGTGGGGCTTTGTGAAATTCCCCCTCATCCATGTTAGCATGTCAACTGGTGTTTTCATTATGCGGGTCTTGTTTGGGCAACCATGTTGTTGAGATTTCATAGGTACAGCTTCCCTGTTAATGTCTAGAAGACACTATCTTAATAATAAAAAATATTTATTATTTTTATTTTGTGTACATGAGTGTACTGCCTCCATGTAAGTAAGTGTACCCCTTACCTGCAGTGCCTGCAGAGACTAGAAGAGGATGTCAGATCCACTGGAACTGGAGTTGCAGACAATTATTAGCCACTGTTTGAGTGTGGGAGTTGAACCCAGGTCCTCTTGAAGAGTAGCAGGAGGACCACTGAGCCATCACTCCAATCCCTAGAAGACACTATATTGAAGCAAGTGCCTTGGTTCTCTGGCTCTTACAGTCTTTCTAACCCCTCTTCCATGATGTTCTCTGAGCCTTGGGTTTGTTAGGAGGTTGCATTTGTAGTTGTACCAATTTTATTTTTAGTTGGAATAGTCTTATTATGTAGCCTAGGCTGGTCCCAAGTTTGTAATCCTGCCTTAGCTTCCCAAATGTTCTAAATGTTGGGATTATAGGCATGAACTACTATACCTGTCTCTTTGTTTCTTCTTTTTCCTCCTAAACTTCTTGAAATTGCAAGATTCATAAAATCTCAGTTTATTCTACTGTAGTTAGAAATGCTTTTGTTTTCTATCCAATTATATTATTATTTAAATCTCATGAGACATGATGATTGACTTTATTATGTGCTACCAGTCTCCTTCCCTTCCTCCCTCCCCCCTTCCCCCACTTCCTTCCCTTTATTTCTTTTCCTTTCCTTCCTTCCTTGTTTTTTTGAGACAGGGTCTTCCTGTAGCGCCAGCTGGCCTGGAACTTACTGTGTAGAACAGGTTGGCCTCAATCTAACAGAAAACCGGTAACCTCTGTCTCCTGAGTGCTGGGATTAAAGTATTAAACCCAGGGCTGGAGAGATGGCTCAGCGGTTAAGAGCACTGACTGCTCTTGCAGAGGATCTGGGTTTGAGTCCCAGGACCCACATGGCAGCTAACAACTGTCCACAATTCCAATTCCAGGGGAATTCAGTGATCTCTCTGACCTCTGTGGGCATTGTATGACCTGGGTGCGCTTACATGCATAGACAATACATTCATATATATAAAAATAATAAATACTCATTTTAAAAAGGATTAAGCCCACCATAGCTGAGTTTTTTCTTTTCTGAGACATGGTCAAATGCATCCCAGGCTGGCCTTGAACTCACTCTGTAGCTGAGGATTACCTTGAACTTGTGAATCTCTCTTGTTTCTGTTTACCTCTCAAGTGCTGGGATTACAGACATGTGCCATCACACCAAGCAAACAAAAAGAGTATTTTTTAGAATATGCTGTTTGGTTTGAAATACTCTCAGCAGGAGATTACCATTACCTATCCGGCTATCACTGGAGGCAGAAATGTTAGCATCTATTTGCCACAAATAGTTTTATGTTTTTTTGCTGTTGAGCCTTTCTCAGTTTAATGCCAGTGGTTCCTATCATGGTTTGCTGTGCCTAATTTATAAACTAAGCTTTATCATAGGTATATATGTTGTCTAGGAATAGTTTTATATATATATATATATATATAGCTTGGTATCA